CATTCCAAAATTTATCTTTAGACCCTGTATCTAAACCTATTTGAGGAGCATAAACACTTATAATATTAAAAATCTTAGTATCAATGATAATCTTAAGGGCTATAATTTTATCTCCAACTCTATTAATATTTACAACATTATCTTTCAAACTCTTATCTATAATTACACCTACACCATTTCTAGTGCGACTCTTACCAGAATACCAAAGTTTAAAACCTAAATTATCAATCTCCTTAGCCTTTTCTCCAACCCACTTAGTTTCTTGAATACATAAGATATTAATTTTCCTAAGAATCATAATATCAACTAATTCTATTAATTTAGCATTGAGAGTACCTATATTCCAAGAACCTATCCTAATATTAGTTTCATTAGTTTCATGGACTAACTTCTTTACCCGCATTCGTCCGTAATGTGGGAACCCTTGCTTATTTAACACTACACCCGGGCGCCGGTATAGCGACCCTTGCACACTTTTCACTGTATCCAGGCTATACAGCGCGTCGCTTCCAGGGGACGCCCTAGCACTTACACAATGATCAAAAGGATTCATGTCATGATTTTTTCGACAAGTTTTACGCTGGCTGTCGACTACCTAACACAACCCTCCACTTTTCGCATCCGGGCTTGGGACCGGCAACGGCAGTGTTAACCACTTCAAACTTTGAAATGACTTATTGCTATCGTAATGTATAAAAGAAAATTCTTATATTCTCATATAAAAAAAATCACTTCAAGCCAAATCTTCTAAATTATAACAACAATAGTAGGAAGAAAGGTCGATGAATCATAAATGAATAAAAAAAATTCATCTATGACATGAAAAAACCTCACACTTAACACCAATATTCTTGAACTTTCGCCCATGACCTCCTAAAAAACATAATTCCAAAAATACCCCTATTTTTATAACCCTAAACCACAATTTGAGATTTTTTTTTAACAATGAGACTACTTCATCCCCTCTTAAAATAGTTGAGGACTACTTTGACACTTTTTAAAAGTAAGGGACTAAAATAACCCCCTTTAAAAAGTTGAGGGACCATATTGGCACTTTTCTCAAAAAAAAAAAAATGGCAGTGTCAAGTTTTTTGAAAAATGACACCTTTAAACCTATTAATGAATGCTAGGATGCTACGTCCTAGTTACTCAGATCAATTTGCAAATGTTATTCTTGGAAAATGCTAGTATTTACATGCAAACCTTGCTCAGAGTTGTGACTTTGGCTGGTGGAGAAGCCCTTGAAATATTTCTATCACCATCAAGCAACAGATAGCGATAACCACTCACATGATAAGCATTTTCTCCACCCCATCCTCTGGATAATTTCTCCTCAATATTCACAATCTTCTGTGACACCTAAAGAAAATTTATAAAGCGGCCCTTAAGAAAGCAGTTTGCATAATGTTGATCTTCTGTAGCAGGCACAAGATAAAATTGTGTTTCTAAGATGCAATCAAAAGCTGGCCTTTGAATTAGAGAGAAAAACTAAGCAACACAGAAGCAATTTGCAGTACATAAAACAACAGGTTGAAATGCAGAATGCCGATTAGCATTATGATTAGCAGTAAATATTTAAGACCGACTCTTAGGAAGTATGACAAGTTTTCAACATCATGAATCTTTTTATATTGTCAAATATCCAACAAAAATAAAAAATATATTTAACCAAACAGAAACAAAAACAAAGCAAATTCAAAGAGGAGCTACAAAAATAGGCTAATGATAGTATGGTATGAATGTATGCTTCAAAAAAGTTACTAATAAAACAAGATTGATGCTTAAATAAATTGATAAAAAAATGTGAATTCGACAACTATAAAGGCCTTTCAATGAAGGAATGAAGGGTGGTTGGAAGCAAACATTCACAATGCATTTTCCAAGATGTATTAACATTGAAGCCAAATCGAACAAAATTAGAAAATCTACTGCAGAAAAGATGCTTACATTTTCAAGAAGTTGATTCTTAGCCAATGCTATGCCTTGTTCGCCATTTATCAAAGAAGACACGGGAATGAGGAGAACTATAGTGAGGCTCTTGTATTGATAAACACAAAGATATGTAGGTTCCTGTGTCTGCTGAAGCCAAATTGTTGGGGTTCGTGGCAACGCAGTGCCAATTTCTGTACCCCACAAATCAGTAACAAGAAAACCATCCCCTCCTTTGGACCATTTGTCCCGTTGTAAAGGCCGTAGCACATTAACAGTCCTACTTTCTTCTTCCCCAGGAAAATTATTGCGAGATGCACCCTGTGACCCATTTGAACCAGCATAAACAGCAGATGAACTAGAGGATATGTTAGATGCAGACTTTGATTTTCTTAAATAGGACCAGGAGTTCACACTCGAACTTGAGGATAAAGCATGTGGACCCAACCTCAGAATACAATAAGCAAATAAATTTGTTGTATCATCCTACAGGGGTCAGTTAAAACATAAAACAAAGTTACATGTAACTTTTAACAACCAAAATTGAAGCCTTCTCAGGAATGTCAGGAAGAACAGAAAACACCACCGTACAGGAGAAAGAGTTGTAGAAACCAATAAATCTTGATATAAGACGAGCGAGTTGTATGTTATGTTGGAACCGCTTGGAGAACCTAACATTGTAATTAAAGACTGCCAAATACAGAAAGAAAATAATAATTGGTAACAGAAATTACATGTAAGGAAAATATTAGCAATTTTAATTATCTCAAAAGCACCATCACCGCACAGGGTACTCAATAGCATTATCATCATAGCATGCTAATCTGCTAGTTTAATTTAAGAAGTTTTGAGTTGAAATTGTAGCTAACTATAAGCTGACTAGTAATCCATGTCACTCCTATCAGTATGGTACTCGGAAAGGAAAGCAATTTTGCATCAAAGGTCTTATTACTGCAGAAAAAAGGACAAGTTTCATAAGTTCACATAAATGAAATTTCATAGATCAAAAAGATTTTGTTAAGAATGAAAAAAGGAAAGCCGCTTAGCAAAGCATACTCAAAAGGCACAAACTAAAATACAAACATTATATTTGCCAAAAGGCAAGGAAGAATGGCTGCCTGACCAGATACTAATAAAAAACTGAATATAATACATGCATCTCCACTGCAAAAGTGGTCTAAAGTCATCAATTAAGTTGAATGAATGATGTAACATAGGTTTAGATGCCAAAAATATAACAAGGAAAAACAATTATTGCATAACAATGAATTTTCTATCTATCGATTCCAATCAAGTTAAATTATCCTAAAATGTTTCCTATAGACCAAGGAGGTGGGTACAACAAAAGTTTTCAAAGTGGCATCCAACCACCATGGATTTAGGATTGCACTTTTAAGCCTTCAAACTGCCATGCAAGGCAAGAGTGTTCTTGCAGTGCAGCACCGAGTGTGTTAGTACTTAACTATTGAGCATTTCTGCATTTACCTGCAAACCACTTCCCTGTTTGGTTGAAAGCAGTAATTGGCCATAAGGGAGCCACTAGCATAACAGGACAAGTAAAACAAAATAAATTTAAATACTTGATGAAATCATATAGCTCCATGAATTTTTAGGATTTTTTGTATGTCTTTAAAATAACATGAAACTCTATTAGAGAAAGGAATACAAACGGAAAGAAAGAATATCTAACAGAATTTTAAATTAACAAAATTAATTTCTTCATACACAAGCAAAAAAAAGCACTGATTCACCAATATAAGGAGAGGTGGAATCAATGTGAAAGGACGACTGATAAACAAAGAAGGTCAAAGCTAACATATCAGAAGATGTTAAAAAATATTTACCTAAACTAGAATTAAAAGAAAATGTAGCTCAAACATAGGTAGTTGGAAAAAAAATATCATAAAGGCAGAACTCACTTATTCATGGTGATGATGATTCAACATGGACAAATTTGTGCATCTCCTACCAAAAGGTAACTCATTTTTATATTATGTTAAATGAGGAAATCCTCATCAGTAATGATGAGCATGTATGGAGCTATAGGTAGAGAGTAGATTAACTGCATAAACACGTTGAAGACCAACATTCAAGTTATATACTGTGTTTAACTCGAACAACAATGGGACCTCGTCAGTCTAAAATAATGTTCCATTATCTTGAGTGGCAAATGCCCTTTCAAATTGCCATTAAAAATAGCACATATTATCTATAAGGATATCAATATGCTATCAAACTCTCTTCTTTAACTCACAGAAGATATATAAGCTTAAACAACTCGATAAAAAAAGGAACAACATTTAAGCTTTCAATCCAAGTAAATGATGCAACCAACATAAATTCTCTCGCAGCTTACAGATTCTTCAAAATCCAAACGTGCGGATAATTTGTACTGTACTGCTTCATTCTACCTGAATTTCAATTGCCATGTCTCTTGATACTGTCAGCATTTGAACAGTTCCTCGTTCCTTCAAACATTCACGGAAGGAAGGAATTTGAAATTTTTTACCAATAGTAAAATCTGTTTTAAGAAAATCATTTATTAGTGAATAAGTTTTGAAACATGGATGAAATCAAACAAACATCAATGAAATAAATTGAAATGAAGGATCTTGCAGGTTAACTTATCAGAATGCCCACAATTAGGTTTACCAGTGAGGTAGTCAGTGAGAAAGTAATACAAATGACTGCGAGCGAATTCACCACTTGGTTGTTTATCCAGTAAAGTTTTCAGAGAACCATGAAACATGACAAAAAAAGAGTATATTTCCTTTAACACTCCTCGCAGAGCTTCAGATCTCCAAGCCGATTCAGCAAGTTTACTCTTCTCAACAACCTAAAGATGAGAGGCATCATCATTTCACCTCAAATAGCTTAAAAGGGAATATAGATAGGGGATGGTGCAAAAAGAGATCCATTATAATTTTATACATCATGAGAATTAAGAAATAAAAAATGAATAAAAAGTTGCTTGCAAGTATAGGAAAATGTATGTCTGGGCTGACAAACTTCAGAGGGAAACATAAATAAAGACCAGCTTGGCAATCAAATGGACTGCAAAGCTAGTCGCCTAGCTTGTCATCCATCATTAGCAATCCATGAACCTCAAGGAGCAAAAATCCATATCAGATTTTCATAAAAATAAATATGTGCAAGCTCAAGAGTATCTTCCTTAATTTTCAATGAACTCAGCAATTTCCATAGATAGAAATTGCTAATTATAATCTATTATTACATAAATAAAGAGGAAAGAGCCCCCCTCAAAACATACGTAACATCCAAATACATTCCCCTCTCTTAATGATGTCAAAGCTCCAGAAAAAAAGAGTCCTACGTTTATTTTTTGTAGTTTTCCCTTAGTCCAAAATCCACGGTACCGCCTGCTGTCCTCCACAACCCATTGCTCCCCATCTGCCACAAGCACCTACTCTAGCAGGCGAAAATCCTCTTTCGTTTCAAAATAATGTCCCGAATTTCAAAAGTTTTTTACATTATAGGTGCGTACCAAAAATTTCTATCTATGTTCACATTGAATGAAAGAAATTATATTATTTGGTCTGAGATTGTAAAATTCAAATTCATTATTTACTTATGAGAAAAAATAAAGCGCCGAGACTGTAAAGATTTAAGGTCATTTTATGTGAAAATTTAAGTGTCCAACATTGTTTATCGATTATGAATTTAAAAATAAAATGTTGAAAGATGAAATTTACAATCAAATATTGTTATAGAATTAGATGTGTGCACTTCAAAAAGATAAATAAAATTATTTTTATGAGTAAATTTCAAGATCTTAAGATTTATGATGTTCATGAAAAACTAACGCTATGTGGGATAAATTAACGAATACTATAAAGCAAGTTTAAAAAAATGTGCATAGAGAATCAAAAGAAAAATCTCTTAAGAATTAAAATATTTGATGGTGAAATAATAATGCACAAGAAAACATAAAAATAAAACACACACACACACACACACACACACAAAAATCTCTTAAGAATTAAAATATTTGATGGTGAAATAATATTAAGAAAGAAAATCAAAAAGGATTTGTCTTAAATAAGAATAATCAATGTAAGCAGATAAAATATTTTGATAAACTTTTTAATAAAGATTGTAAAAATACGATTGACTTTAGCCATCTTAATACCATAAATAATAACAAATCTTTTTATTTTTACTGTCACATTAGAAAAATAAAAGTTGAGAAGAATTTAGAGAAAATGACGTGCGAAAAAGTAGCATGACTTAATAATATTCTAATAGAATGGTGGAAATATTTAGGAGAATTGGAAAATTTTCACTTACTAAATTTTTCTATATTATTTTAAGACTAAAAAGTTGTCTAATGAATGGATAAAATGTCCATTGGTTTATTATTTTAAGAATAAAAGGGATGTGCAAAAGTGTGCAAATTATAAAGGAATTAACTTAATGTGCTATACATTAAAGTTATGAGAGAAAGTAATTGAATATTGGCAATGATCTGAAATAAAAATTTCTCAAAATCAGTTTGAATTTAAGTCGAACAAATCTAAAATGAAAACTATAAATTTTTTGAGAGATTTGATGGATAAGTACAAAGGGTAAGGAGGATCTACATATGATTTTTGTTGCTTTAGAAAAAAACATATGATAACATTCCAAAATAAGTACTTTGGAGAGTTATGTGGGCTCCGAAAAATCCGACCGCTCTT